TTCCTCCCGTCCCCTTCCTCCCGTCCCCTTCTTCCCGTCCCCTCGTTGTGGGGGGGGTTCCCTGATGCCAGGCGCTGGCACGGCACCCGCCACCCTGCCAGGGGCAGTGCCAGGTGTTGGTCATACCCCCGGCACCCATAGCCTGGCATACAGGAGGTCACTGCTCCCTCCGGTAATGCCAAACAGGAGCGTGAGGTTTGGCTTTCTGGGATGCGTTACTGTTCCTGCGCCTCTCTTTCTTTAGAGGGGGGATGCCAGGAATGCAAAGGGGAACTTTGTGTCTGCAGAAAAGGGCGTGAGGTTTTTGGGAGCCTTTGGCTGCTGTTGGCGCGTCTTTCGTGACGTGCGGGGCGGCGGGGGCAGCTGGTTTGGCTGTGCCAAGGGGACGGAGTGGTTCGTCCATCCTGGGGCTCTGCGTGGCCGCTTCGGCGTCCTGGGCTGCAGCTTGCGAGCCCCTCGGCGGTCGGGATAAAGAGCTGAAGTGGGGAGCAGGTTTGCAGGAGAGGCTCGTGCTCGGTAAAGCTGGAAAAATAGCAGCGACGTGATCCTTGCTAATCACAGCTCCTCAGTCTCGTCCAGGCTGATGTATGGATACTTTTTGTCCAGACCAGAGCTCCTGTAAAATCACACTAAAGGCCCAGTTAAGGCAGCCGTCATCACGGGTGGGATGGACTTGTCCTGCTGGGTGGGGATGTAGACACTACTTCCCCTGAGCAGAACTTGAGCAAAGAACGTAGGAGCTCTGCTGTATCCAGCAGAGCTATTGTAAGAAAACGCGTGTTTGGCAAAATAAAGCATGGAAGAGTAACAATGAATCTCCTGGAGAAAAATCCCATCTTTGGGAAACATTGTACTGGACTTCATGTTCAGTAGTACTTGAAGAAACGTGTGTAATAATAATTGAAGAAATTAAATGGAGAAATCAGCCACCATGGCTGGGAGCTGAGGTGTAAAAATAAGTGTGAAGCCAACGCAGGCGGGCGTCCGTTTGCTCCTAGTGCTGTCCAGAGCCGTGTTCAAAAAAGAGTTTTTTTCTGCAGCAGTCCTCTGGTTTCCTTTTCGACTTGGAAACTGCTTGGAGCTCTGCAAACAACCTCTGGTACCGACTAAGAGGTGTTAACTTTTACCTGGACTTCTCCTTGGCACTTGGGAAGCAGCAGCTGACAACATCTGGCGGGTTATTTTGCGTGGCGTGTTAACAAACTGGTTATAACCATCAGCTTCCTCGTTTGGTGAGCTCGAAGGACTGGTGGTTGTGTCTGGCTGACTTCTGGCACGTCTTTTTGGGTAAAAACACGTTCACCTTACTCGATAGCACTGTGCAGGTTCATCATGTTGGGTTTGGATGGTAATTAACCTCTCCTGATGATACAAACTGCTGTCCGTGCCCTTGGTTAGGGTGACACTGTAATCCTTTTTCCCATCTTTCCTCATTTTTTTGGCTTCGCGGGTTTCCCGGAGCAGTTGCTGGACTTTCCACTTGATTAACCGCCGCTGCGTTTCTTTGTGTGGGTGAAACGAGCGGTGAAAAGATATGCACATCTCCCAAGTTCTGCTGCGGCGTGATGCTCGCTGCACTGGAAGTTTGGGATATATTATCATTTTAATTATGCCAACTTCTCGCTGGCTGCTGGAGATTCCCAAGCTCAAGCAGAAGTTTCTGGCTGCGCTGTTTCTATTCAGTCTAAAATGTGCTGGCCTCTTACCAGAATGTTTGATTTTTCCCAGTGCCCTGAAGTGCTGCATGGTCTCGTTAGGGGAGGGAGAAAGCCGTGTAATTGTTGTGATTTTACAGATTGCTGGAGGTCTGATCTGTGCAGCACCATGGATTCGTCAGAAGAGACTGGAGGCTCCTCTGCAGAAGAAAACTACTTTGTGAACTACACCTTCACCGACCGCTCCCACTCAGGCCGCGTGGCCCAGGGCATTATGAAGTTGTGCTTGGAGGATGAGCTCTTTGCTGATGTTACAATATCCGTGGAAGGCAAAGAATTCCAGCTGCACCGTTTGGTCCTCTCAGCCCAGAGCTGCTTCTTTCGTTCCATGTTCACTTCCAACCTAAAGGAGGCCCACAACCGGGTGATCGAGCTGCAGGACGTGAGCGAGAGTGTCTTCCAGCTTCTCGTGGACTATATTTACCACGGGACTGTGAAGCTGAGGGCAGAGGAGCTGCAGGAAACCTATGAAGTGGCAGACATGTACCAGCTGACTGCCCTTTTTGAAGAGTGCTCCCGTTTTCTGGCCCGTACGGTGCAGGTTAGGAACTGCCTGCAGGTCATGTGGCTGGCAGATCAGCACAGCGACGTGGAGCTCTACACGGCTGCCAAACACTGCGCCAAGTCGCATTTGGCTCAGCTGCAAGACACGGAGGAGTTCCTGCACCTGCCTCTCCGCCTCCTGACGGACATCCTTACAGGTAAGGAGTTCTGGAGAGCAGCCGGGATGTGGATGTGGAGAGAGACTTTCAGTCTGTCGGGGATTGAACAAAATAGATGGAAAGATCCAAGCTTTCGTAATCACTCTCTATTCAGAGGCTTAGCTAAACCAAGCAAAACAAAACATTCTAGATAACTTGATCAGAAAAAAAACTACGGAACGTTGCTGGACGTGAAGCATATAAGCTACAGGAAAGGGACACAGAGGATACTGGTAATTCCTAGTTCCTGAGTCAACAGGTCAGAAATATTACAGGTTTTTTCAACGTAACTTAGTAACTTTCAACAGTTTGTTGTGGTTTTGTTTGCATTAAAAGTAAGACAAAAGAAGACTCACCAGAAACGAGCATCTTAGGAAAGTCATTTTTTATTTCAGTTTGTCATCTTTTCGCACAGTAATGCAACAACTCAACGTTGGTAGGAAGGCTGGAGCACCAGCCGTGTTTTTAGACTACGTTAGTGTTATTAACAGTTGGATTATTATTAATAGTTAGGATTATTTAGGCTAGCCACTCAGCTGGCCGAAACAGAGGCATTTTAACCTCTTGGGTAATACAGTAATTACCCTTCCTAGCCTTCCACGGTAATGGGTGCAATGACTCAGTGGTGTGAAGGATGTGTCAGCACACCGACAGCGTACTCCAACTGCCACCAGTCCTCCCAGGTTCTCTGCTGCCCTGGTGGGTGCAGCCAGTCCTTGAGAACCTCTCCGTGATGCTGCAGTCACAACTCCATTGTTGTGCATTTACGGGTCATTGCTGGAGGAAGCAAGAACGTAGAAGCAGCTCATCCATTGCAGTGTGCTGGAGTTGGGACCGGGGAGATTGCCCCTTTCTTACTTTAATTAAGTAATTTTGTAAATGAGTAAATCGCTATGCTTTGTGTGTCATGTGTTTTATATGCTGTTACAGGAATAAATCCACTGTGACTGTCTGCTTTGGAATACTGGCAAATCTGTCTTTAAGGCTTAAAACAGCCTTTAAAGTCGATGCTATCTATGGATGTGAGGGTCTTTACGGATTTTCCATTGTATTATCTCTGTTGCATCTAAATAAATTCACAGTCACAAACCTAATGAGAATGTGTACTGACAGCTCAAAAAACCTATGATAAAATTACTCTAATTTTGTTAACTCTCTAGCTGAAGTTTTTAAACGAAGTTGCGAGTTCATTAAAAATAATTGAATTCTAAAATAATGAAATAAATCTATAGAGGTCAATCACTCTGAACTTCCTAGGGATTCCAGGTAGTAGTAACCATAGCTTTAGGACTATGGCCTTCCGTGTTTGTAGTCCTAAATTAAAATAATTGCTCAGTAAAACCTTTTTTCCATGCATCATCTGTTTCCATTTATAGAATCACTTTACTCAGTATTTATGCTGAAACTTAGCTCATAAGCCGGATTAAAATCTGAAAAACACTCCTACTGCTGGTAGGGAAAATCTTTTTCTTTTGCAATTCCTGCATCTTTGTTTAGTTAATGGGGAATTAAGTAGAGGAAGCTGCTAGTGGCAAGGATTAAACTTAATTTAATGAAATAGTCATTTATTAAGCTTACCTTTTGTGGCACTCCAGGACCCATTTCGAAATGAAAGTTTTTCCATTTAACCACTACGTTTGACGGATAGCTTACGGAAATCCCTTTTACTAACAAACAGAGTTGAAATACCTGCTTTTGTTTCACGCTTTTTCTCCTCCCTTCCGGTATAGAGAAAAGTGTTGGAATTTGTCTGATGCTCTCAGCATCACTGAATTCAGGGTTTGTCACGACAGCAGCCCGCAAAACCAGAGCGCTTCATCGGGAAGCCTCTCAACGCAGACAGGTGTGATTGCTGGCTTTCCAACTGGAAGTAAACACCTAAAATCTTCTAAGTAATTCAGTAGTTTGTGGCATAACGAAAATTCCCAGTTATGTCTGGAAACAAACTGAAATCTGATGCAGTCTGGTGAGTGTTTCCCAGTGTCACACTGCTGAGGGAAGCTATAGGAGCTCACTGGGGATTCCCAAATGTTAAGAGGATGGCAGCAACACCACCAGCAGCAATGTTCAGCCTTAAGGGTTGATGACTTTTGCTAGGTGGGTTTCTGGGACCGGCCAGAAAGAAAGGCAGCTGCCGAGATTCTCAAATAAGAGCATCTTTTTGCCTAAATAAGAAAATATTTCATCGTCACAAAGCATGGAAGTTCTCTTCCCTCTCCTCTTCCTCTTGGATGGAGGCTCCTTTGTTGAAACTCATCCAAAGTGCTTAAGATCTGGCAGCTCCTGATATTTATCCAAACTAATTTCGTGTCGATGTCTGGCTGGCAGTGCCAGTCGTGCCCGCCAGAGTCTATAAACCTCTGGATCTTTTTTTCCTGCCTAGCAAGCAGGGTTTGTGGTGGGAGTGAATCGCAGGAAAAGGATGTTCCTGAGTACATCCACCTTTGTCTGGGTATCATAAATGCCTTTCTGTCCCCAAACCGCAGATGGCGTTCCGTGTTCTCAGAATCCAGCAGTTGCCATAGAAACCTGGATCAACTTCAACAAGGAGGAGCGAGCGGGCTTTTCGGAGACACTACGGTCGAGTCTGAAGGTATAAAAAGACCTTCTGTTCTGGGGTTGGTGTAGCACTCGCTGGGTTCACACTTCCCAAGGCAGGGTGTTCTGCTCACTGGTGTGCCTTGCAAGTCCCAAAACACAAATTCCATTGCGCTTTGTGGTGCCTGCGTGAGGAATACTTTCGTTGCCATAAATAGCAATCCCACTGACAGCTCTTTTAATTTAACCTGAGGCTGCTTTCACTAGTGATTGGAGCAATGCCACAAAAAACTTATTTCACCAGATGCTCAGTTACCAGAGAGGCCATTCAGAAATCCGAGTCTGGCATTCCCTCTGTAATAACTCCACTCCATCAGTGATGTAACCAGCCCTCACCTAAACTGCAGACACCTGGGTTCCAGTGAAGTTTGCTGCTGTTTTGCTGTGTCAAATAAGACTGGTATCTTGAGAAGGCTTTGAGGCTCTGAATCCTGCACGCTGTAGCTGTAGGGTGGCAGGACTTGGGAAGCAGGGCAAACATCTCGGACCCACAGGTGGGTCCCAAGCTGAAAAATTCAGTCTTAGGCATCACTGATGTTTGCGTAACGGGGTCTAACTCTGCTGACACGCTCCTGCTTTCCCTCAGGTGATTGGAGAAAACGTTCACATCTACCTGATTGGGAAGGAGTCGTCGCGCACGCATTCGCTCGCCGTCTCTCTGCACTGCGCCGATGACGACTCCATCAGCGTGAGCGGCCAGAACAGCCTGTGTCACCAGATCACCGCGGCCTGCAAGCACGGCAGCGACCTCTACGTCGTGGGCGGCTCCATTCCGCGGCGCATGTGGAAATGCAACAACGCCACCATAGACTGGGAATGGTGTGCCCCTCTGCCCCGCGACCGGCTCCAGCACACCCTTGTCTCCGTGCCAACCAAGGATGCGATATATTCACTGGGGGGCAAGACTCTTCAGGACACTCTCTCCAATGCCGTCATATATTACAGAGTACGAGACAATGTCTGGACAGAGACCAGCCAGCTGGAAGTGGCAGTCTCTGGAGCTGCAGGTGTAAACCTTAACGGTGTCATTTACCTGCTGGGTGGGGAGGAAAATGACCTGGACTTCTTCACCAAGCCCTCTCGGCTAATTCAGTGCTACGATACCAACACGGAGAAATGCCACGTGAAGCCCTACGTACTGCCTTTCGCAGGGCGCATGCACGCTGCCGTACACAAGGATGTGGTGTTCGTTGTGGCCGAGGGGGATTCGCTGCTCTGCTACAATCCCCTCCTGGATAGCTTCACCCGGCTGTGCCTGCCAGATGCCTGGAGCTCAGTACCATCCCTCTGGAAAATCGCCAGCTGCAACGGCAGCATCTACGTCTTTCGCGACCGCTATAAAAAGGGCGACGCGAATACTTTTAAACTGAACCCAGCCACCTCTGTTGTAACAGTCACAAGTGGCATCAAAGTGCTGCTCACTAACCTGCAGTTTGTCCTGGCCTGAGTGGGACAGACAGGACTGAGTGACAGAAGGGGCAGCAGCGGTGTTGTGCGCAGCTCAGAGGCACCCACGACCCTCAGCACCAGTCCCAATTACGACGAGTTCCCAACACCTCTACACCTGTGCAGAGGAAGCACAGGCTTTCCGGCTGTGGGCCCATTTTTTTTTTTTACACAGCACTATCAAAGTTGAACTGCTGCATCTTAGATTTCGGATGGACTAAATGCTATTACTGTGATCCCTTGATGATAAGCTGCTTGCGTGCGAGGCCCAAACTGCAGCAAACGTCTTTTTATCCGCCAGTAACAAATCCTATGGCATATGGACAACGTCCTCCTCGGCCCAGACTGCTGGTTTTAACTGTGTGTTCCTGCCATGTCAGTCACAGAGTTAGACGTGCACTGTGTCCTCCAGGGATGGCCCCATTTAAACATTCCTGTGGCCCCACTGCAGAAGGAGAGACTGGCAGAAACGTTCACAGCAGAGATTCCAGAGCTGACCCCAAGACTGTTAGTAGGTGGCATCATTCAACACTCCTCCTAGAGGAGTGGTAATAAACTGGGAACTGCTCTGTCTTCACCCGGCATAAAGAGGGAGATGGTTTTTATGAGCGTTGGCTTCCTTTGCTGTACAGGGACTCCTCAGCTGTAATCACAACGTAGTGTTGGTGAAAGCCAGAATTCAGACCACTCCCGCCTCCCCCTCTCTGTTGGCACTGTAACCCTTTGGGTAAGAATCTGAATAAAGTCTCTGCTGAGACAAAGTTTTCTTTTCCTTTGCTGCAAATACTGTAGGACTTCCTGTGGATTGCAGTTCAGCTCAGCACCGATAGTGTGTATGGGAGGGAGTAACTACAGGGCTCCAAGAGAACTAAGATATTAGCCACAGGAAAGAAAGCTTTAATGAAACAGCCCAGCTTCCCCTTGACTGTAATTTACGTAAAAACTTCTTTATTCATGGTCAAGGAGTACAACACTTGAGCCTTGATTGAGAACTAAGATATTAGCCAGAGGAAAGAAAGCTTTAATGAAACAGCCCAGGCTCCCCTTGACTGTAATTTATGTAAAAACTTCTTTATTGATGGTCAAGGAGTACAACACTTACTCCTTCATTACATCATTAAAACGTAAGGTTGTTTTAAAGCAGCCAAGACAGAAGTTTTGATAGTTCTTACTGAAGCTATGCAGTTGTCCCAGCGACCACGTTCCTGTGAAACGCCTCCAGGACCTGGACTTGCTTGTGCCGAACGAGGATGTGGGGACGGATCTTGGCAATGGCCGCTATTGCTTCCTGAGGGCTCCAGTGATGCAGCTGCAAAGACAGAAACCCTGCAAGTAAAAAATCCACTGCATCCCTGTACCAGTTGATGGAGCCTTCCTGGAAGCTGCAGGCAACATGAGAGTTGTTAAGAAAACGTGTTGCTTTGCCCCTTCTGTTTACTTCGTGTTCCTCTCAGAGGGGCCTGAGTGTCAGGGCAAGTTCATTAAATCAGTCCCCCAGTTAAAGAGGGATGGTTGCTGCCTGCGACCTCTGTTTTCTGTCTCACTCATGCTTCCATCGTGTTGTGAATCGTTTCCTGTCCTAGTCCCCCCAGACCAGAGCAAAAGTGCAGCTTGTTTGTTTTTTTTTTTTAAAAAAAAAACTTTACTAGTACTCCCACCGCACTTCGTGGCACTTGGTGAGAAAATTTTCCCTTCAGCACCAAGGGAAAATTTTCCAGGGTGCACTTAATAACGCCAACAGAAGAATCCCCAGGTGGGACTTTTCTTCTTATTGCTGGCTTACCCAGCTGAGTTTGTGGAGGAACTCAGACAACCAAAGTCACTTCTCTTGATCCTGAACTGTATTTACTGAAAAGCTTAGAGAGGCTCACCATTTCAGTTAACCAAGGACAAAATCCCAACAACAAAAATGGATATTTACCTGCTCGGTGAACCTCCCCTCACAAGTGACTTGTTATTCCCATCTCAATCTGTTCCTCCATAGAAAGAATTAACGGCAGAATCATTCAAACCCTTTTGAGAACTTACTACATTAATGGTCCAGAAAACCTGGAGCAGCCTCCTGATGTCTGACTGATCTGCCAGAATCATCAGCAGATGCTGTCAGATCATGTGTTCCAAAGCTTTGCTGCAACAATTTCTCTTCCCCATGCCATCAGGACATCTTTTGCCAGTAACTGAGCTGGCAGAGGCAGCCCACACAGCTGAACGAAAAGACCATTTAAAATGGCAGCTTCACCACTATCTTATTGCCAGGAAGCATCCTGGGAGTATCCCAAGTGCACACGAACAAGGTGTGCAAAGATAAGCGAGATTATCAGAGACAGCTCACACCTCAGTTCAGCAAACGTGAAGTTTTAGTTGTTCCGTTTACGCTGTATTTGCCACGTTCTACAAAACAGCAACGTAAGCTCGGGGCCCAGCTCTCTACCTCTCCTAAAATGGGTCTCCAGTCCAAACTCTGCGGAGTCATGGAGTATTAACGCCTCTGTATTGGCCCGACCTGTATGAAAACAAACCCCACTTGGCGCAGAACCCTTCTTACTCGAATTAAATACGCCGCCACCATCGTGGCGCTGCGGGAGCGTCCCGCCTTGCAGTGCACGTAGACGCTGTTCCCGCAGGCTCGGTGCTTCAGGATGAATTCCACACCCCTGTGGAGGTTTTCCAAGGTGGGGACTCCAGTGAGATCCACGGTGCTGAGACGAAGTTGCTCCACTCCCATCGCCTCCCATTCCTGAAACGGACATAGCAGATGCCATCAGTTAACTCTTCTGGGTTTTGTTCCAGAGGGAAAACCCAGAACCTGTGGAGATAGTTGGGAAGTTCCGTGGGGCTGGAAGCAGGCTTTGAATGCCAATCCTTTAAATCGGGGGTGTGAAAACTTGAGTGCTGGATCAGAAAGGAGTGAAAGGGAACTGAAGCGGCTCCAGGAAAGGGAAGGAGGGGAGCTGGGATCTCATCCCGATGTCTTTGCATCCTCGCGTCTTTACTGGTTTCTCGCACGGTGTTAAAAGCCGTCTCGGGGACAAAGCAGCCGCGTCTCACC